TGTGTGGCTTCGAAAGGTAATCATGTAAGACAAGCAACGACTCAGCACACCTGTTCACAAAACAAAACGCCTAAGGCAAGAAAGCGCAACAACTATGCCGCAACGGCTCAAGAGCTGCTGAATGGGGAGGAGAGATGGCCCAAAGCCCTTCGTCAAAACCAAACCCTCCCACAGCCGCATCCAGTAGATCAGCACGATGAGGAGGTGCAGGAGGCGGTAGGGCGGATGGCCCAGAAGCAGCGCAATGGGAAGAATGCTGCGCATGAGGTCCCAGAAGTTGCCGAAAGTAAGGTAGACTGACAAGTGCTGCGTGCGGACACACCCCCAGAGCTGCACCAGTTCTAGCAGCAGATCGACGCATCCTTTGGCGATGATCCAGTCCGCGACAACTCCAGAGGAGTGTTGGATATCGACGTGCATGCGGTCACTTGCCGTAGACAGCTCATGTCTGGACGACGCCTCCAGAACTAGAAGCCCGAGCCCCCACAAAGAAATCAGAAACTGCAAGGCGTCGACCCAGACTGCTCCATTCCAGAAAGCGTAGGACACTGCACAGAGTATGGGGACTGAGCCGAAGATGCTCTCAGCAGGGGCGTCTTGAGTGTGGAACCCAGCGTGAGAGGAAAGAGCTTGGAAGATGTCAACCGAGATAAGGTTCGGCACCTTGGAGCCCAGAAAAAACACGAAAAAAAGGGTACCCTTCTTGGGGTTCGCTACTGTATAAAGGGAAACTTGAACCAAACAACAAAAACAGTGAAAAGGGTTACCACAGGGCTACCACAAGGTGCATGGCAAACCCGGATGCCGACCTCAAGCATGGGTGGTGTTCTGGGATCGGTCACTTTGCTATGCCAGTCGGGGGCTGTGCGGGTCTCGGCATGGAACAGCCAAACCGTGTCCTTACTTCTCCAATAACCAAAGGAAAAAAGGCCAAACATCATTTATTATTCCTATGTACTAAATACGGAAACCCCAAAACAAATTACAGTTCAACTGTTGGCTAAGTAAGTGTCTGATTCGTAGAAACAGAGTCGACGAGGAAGCCATGACGCGACTTGAAAACCGAGAAGGCGAAGGGGCGCACAGCGACTCGCGAACGAGACTCTCTTTGGAAGCGGATGCCAACCTAGACCCATGAGGAAGCTAGGAATAAAACAAGGGCACCCTTTTTGGCTAAATGGGATGATAAGGGAACCTACACCCTAAAAAAAAACACACGAATAAGAGCCTAGCAACCCTCATCTCCATCAAGCTCCTCGCCCAGGGTCTCCGGTGTGGCTGTGAAGAAGTCCAGCAACGCCTAGGATGGCCCTTAAAACCCTCTTTAAGGAAATATTCAAGGGCACCCTAAACCCTGAACCCTAAACCCTACACCCTGAACAAGGACCCAGACGCTGCAGCAACGGCCGGATTGAATCGCAAAAGCTGCGCCATGTCTTTGGAGGTCAGCTCTTGTGCCAGGAGCTGCTCCACACGCTCGCCATACCTGGTTTAGGATTTAGGGTTTAGGGAGTAGGGTTTAAGGTTTAGGGTTTAGGGTTTAGGGAGTAGGGCTTAGGGATTAGGGTTTAGGGTTTAGGGCTTCGAAACTTAAACTTCTTTTCCTTATCGCGTTGAAGTACCCTTTTAACAACAATGAAAAATGTTACCCGACTATGACAAAGAGACTGCTGTCTCTCCGAGGCGTAGCTCAGGAACAGGGGGATGCACTCCTCGCTCATGGCTGGGATAGTACTAGGTATCTAAGTTTCTATTCCTTGTTGAGCCTGAGCCCCCTGCAAAATGACACATGTTACCCCTAAAGCCTAAAGCCTAAAGCCTAAACCCCACTGTGACGCCAAGACTCGGGGGCGTGATGAATGAAAGTCCGCAAGCTGCTGCTGGTGATGGGGGCCACTTCTGCCAAGGTCTGGGTGCTGCACTTGCCAAATCCTTGGTTGCTGAGTTCATAGCCCTAAACCCTAAACCCTAAACCCTAAACCCTAAACCCTAAACCCTAAACCCTAAACCCTAAACCCTAAACCCCGGAAAAAGTGTACAGTGTACTCACTCAGCTACTAAGAGTCTTATTCCGTACTCCAGCGAGGTCTCCCCGGTGAAGCCAGCATCATCCTCACTGTGCCAAGCCTGTCAACTAAGGGTTAAAGGAGGCCAATTCCCTACAGAACCCCTATATGTACCTGATATAGTCACTCTATATACCTAAGTAGCCCCGTAATAACCCCCAAAGAACCCCTAGAAGGTCCCTTACAAGGCTCCCTCCTTTCGTCCTTGAGGTTGAGGCTTTAGGGTTAAGCTCTAAGACCCTAAACCCTAAACCCTAAACCCTAAACCCTTATAAGGGTCCCTCCTTTCGTCTCTTGAGCCTGGCGCAGGGCCTGCTGGACAGCTCGTATCGTCTCAACATTCCCGGTCATGAAGGCCAGATGCCTAGGACGGCCGTTAAAACCCTCTGAAAAATCTTCCTGAACATGATACTCTTAAACCCTAAACCCTAAACGCTAAACCCTAAACCCTAAACCCTAAGCCTTAAACCCCAAACCCTACACCATAGAAGGGCAAACCAATTAGGGAAATGTAAGATGTCCAAAGTGCCTGCCGAGCTGCAAGCAGGAGTGCCCATTGGCGTTCTGACTCCGAACGTCCGCACCTGGGCTGCAAAGATAGGGTTTAGGGTTTAGGGTTTAGGGTTTGGGGTTTAGGGTTTAGGGTTTAGGGTTTAGGGTTTAGGGTTTAGGGTTTAGGGTTTAGGGTTTAGGGTTTGGGGTTTAGGGTTTAGGGTTTAGGGTTTGGGGTTTGGGGTTTAGGGCTTCTAGGCACCTTGGCTGCAAAGATAGGCAATCATCTCACCGGAGCCTCCACGCCCCTCTCGAAAGACAGCCGCATGCATCACATCATAGTTGTGTCGACCTTAATAGGGTTTAGGGTTTAGGGTTTAGGGTTTAGGGTTTAATTAGGGTTTAGGGTTTAGGGTTTAGGGTTTAGGGTTTAGGGTTTAGGGTTTAGGGTTTAGGGTTTAGGATCATAGTTGTATCGACCTTAATTAAAACAAATCAATGCTAATATAGAGCTTGCGGCGCCTTATTTTCGACAGGCCTAACCCTAAACCCTAAACCCTAAACCCTAAACCCTAAACCCTAAACCCTAAACCCTAAACCCTAAACCCTAAACCCTAAACCCTAAACCCTAAACCCTATTCAACGAGAAGCAAAGGCATACGTCCAAGAACAGTCTGGAGGCCGTCCCGTGTGACCATGCTATGAACCGTAGCGCGCCTCTCCAAGAGTACTCGCACCGTCGACAGGTGACCGCGGCTTGCCGCAAGATGAATGGCTTGGCCAGTACAAATCTGCCGCAAACTGGCATAATAAGCAACATAGGCGAAGGCACTGTCCAAATGAGCAGAACCATCATCAAGTTGCCGAATTGCATCTTCATCCTTGCCGTTCAGGACATCCACGTGAAACAGGGTACCGTAGCACGTCCTCGTGGCCCAGAATCTTGGAAACGGATTCAGGGTTTAGGGGGTTTAGGGGGTTTAGGGGGTTTAGGGGGTTTAGGGGGTTTAGGGGGTTTAGGGGGTTTAGGGGGTTTAGGGGGTTTCGGGGGTTTAGGGGGTTTAGGGGGTTTAGGGGGTTTAGGGGGTTTAGGGGGTTTAGGGGGTTTAGGGGGTTTAGGGGGTTTAGGGGGTTTAGGGGGTTTAGGGTTTAGGGGGTTTAGGGTCTAGGGGGTCCAAAACATGCATCCGTTTCGAAGCTGCATATGTAAACTCAGCAATGCACTTGGCTGCACTCAGGAGGGTAGCTATAAATTAAACTTTTAGCTGCCTTACTAAGAAGCCCAATAAACCCAAAAGAGGTAAGGATCTAAAGTTACGGTAAAGTACCACAAAGTGCAGGGACTTGGAACTTTCAACACCACCCCCGAACAGCCTGTTGCTCCAAGTGAACGTGCAAGGGCCAAATGGGGCCAACAACTCCCGAGCGATTGCAGCCATGCCTACTGGGCTTCGGACCGTCTGGCAGCGAAAACTGAGAGGTTTTGAGGTGCGTTTGGCCAGCACTGAACCCTAAACCCTAAACCCTAAACCCTAAACCCTGAACTGAACAAGGACTCCCGATGTGTCACACAAGCTGCGCGCAAGTGTCTCTTGCCCTTCCCACTCTCAAGGGATCCTGACGCTGCGGATGCAAGAACATGACTTGCCAAGTGCACTACCGTCCACTGAATAATTGCTCCTTCTTGTAGCAGGGACTGAGACGGGCTTAGGGTTTAGGGTTTAGGGTTTAGGGTTTAGGGTTTAGGGTTTAGGGTTTAGGGCTTAGGGTTTAGGGTTTAACAGACCGGGAGAAGCAGAGATGAACGCCAGACCCCTACGTGTTGTTGGCGAAGTACCGCCCTTGCACCTCTTCACTCCCAAGCTGCTAACCCTAAACCCTAAACCCTAAACCCTAAACCCTGCACCCTAAACCCTAAACCCTAAACCCTAAACACCCAAGCTGCTATAGAGCTGGCTGGCTCTTAGTGGGGAGCGAAGTGGCCTGTTATATCACCCCATATATAGCGTTTAAGGGATTATGTCGGCCCCTATGTATAGCGTTTAGGGATTATCTAGGCCCTATATATACCCTTTGAGGGATTATCTAGGCCCTATCTATGCATATATATATATATATATATATACATTTATTTATTTATATCCTTAAGGGGGTATATAGGGTACCCTACCTCATTCCCCCATTGCCTGCTAAGAGCCAGGGGGACAGTTCAAATTATCGGAACCCCTAAGCTAGGTACCACTGGCTGTCGGAGACCACCCGCATGCTCGTGGACCCCCAATGGCTGAAAATCATCTCTGCCGAAGCAAGGTTTAGGGTTTAGGGTTTAGGGTTTAGGGTTTAGGGTTTAGGGTTTAGGGTTTAGGGTTTAGGGTTTAGGGTTTAGGGTTTAGGGTTTAGGGTTTAGGGTTTTCAGGGTTTTAAAGACCTGGGCCCCCTGACACCTCTCCGCAAGAGCTGCGTGGCGGCCTCTTTGCCCCAGCCTCCACAGGCAACGAAGGTTTAGGGTTTAGGGTTTAGGGTTTAGGGTTTAGGGTTTAGGGTTTAGGGTTTAGGGTTTAGGGTTTAGGGTTTAGGGTTTAGGGTTTAGGGTTTAGGGTTTCCTCCACAGGCAACGGAGGCTTGCGGCGGTTGTCCATGAGGACCCCACAGGTATACTTTATTGTAGGCTCTTGTAGCACCCTACACCCTAAACCCTAAACCCTTTACCCTAAACCCTTTTTTCCAAACTCTCACGTGACGTAGAACGAGAAAATCAGGGTTGGGGGTCTAAGCTCCTCAGCGTGTCCTTTTGGATGTATGTTGGTTTCCGGGCATGAAAATTTTGACATGAATATCCCTAAACCATAAACCCTAAAACCTAAGCCCTATAAACCCTAAACCCTAAACCTTAGCCCTGAGCTCTGGAGCTAAGAACTAAGCTTGCCCACACGAAGCTTGTGCGCCCTAAGCTGTAAGCCCAGCTCTAAGCCTGTAGAAAAACAACTGGGGTCTAAACTTCTACTTTCATTGGTCTATTTAGGGAGTTCCCTATACTTCAGGGCTTAGGGTTTGGTTCAACCCTAAAAAAGTAGAGATGCCCTACTTATGATCACCCTAAATCCGTGAACCTCCAAGTACAACCTGGAAAGCCCTGCTCTCACCCTAAGCATGCACCCTAAAGATTCCAAGCCCAGGGAACAATAAAAACCCTCAAACCTCCCTAAACGCTAAACCCTAAACCCTAAACCCTAAACCCTAAACCCTAAACCCTAAACCCTAAACCCTAAACCCTAAACCCAAAACCCTAAACCCTAAACCCTAAACCCTAAACCCTAAACCCTAAACCCTAAACCCTAAACCCTAAACCCTAAACCCTAAACCCTAAACCCAAACCAACCCTAAAGCAGCATCCTAAAGCCCCTAAACCCTGCAAGCCTACTACCCTGCTTCCATTCTAAGCCCTAGAGTCCCAGGAACCCTAGCACCCGAAACCAGCAAGTAACCCCGAAACCCTGAACCCTTAACCCGAAACCCTAAACCCTAAACACCACCCTTCCCGGCCTGGCTCTGCGTTCAGGTGTTTCAGTGCGCGCTCCCAGCGATCGTCCTTGAAGACGAGGCCCTGTGTGGGAGAACACGCGGAGAGGCATCTGGGGGCCCTGAACCCGTTGCGATTAGGGTTTAGGGTTTAACGTTTAGGGTTCAGGCCCATGGGTTGGGGGTCATTCAGACACCCTGCTATGGGCGAAAAAGGACCTACAGATGGAGGTTTAGGGTTTAGGGTTTAGGGTTTAGGGTTTAGGGTTTAGGGTTTAGGGTTTAGGGTTTAGGGTTTAGGGTTTAGGGGGCCGAAGCCACTGGGAACCCTCCGGGGGCTCCTCGATCTTGTCCAGGGTCGCCTCATCGAGCGGGGCGCCGGCCTTGTCAGCCTTCTCAGGCTTCGGTTTCACCGGGTGGGAAGAAGAGGGTTTAGTTAGGCTTTAGAGTTTAGGGTTTAGGGTTTAGGGTTTAGGGTTTAGCAGCCTTCTCAGCCCTCGGTTCCGCCGGCTGGCAAGAAGAGGGCTACACAGGGTGTACATCGGGTTTATAGGGTTTATACGCTTTATAGGGCGTGTCGAGTTGATTTTACTGTAGGGGAGGGCTTAGGTGGGAAGAAGAGGGCTTACTGCGCTTGTAGGGTCTGGAGGTTCTAGATTGTTTGGAGGTTCCATACTGCTGGCAGGGGCCGAAATAAAGAGAACGGTTTAGGGTTTAGGGTTTAGGATTTAGGGTTTAGGGTTGGTTTAGAAAATTTAGCCTTAGGGCGTGTCTCCGAGCCTTCGCTTCCACAGGGTGGAAGAAGAAGCATTCACAGGGTTCATAGAGTTTCTAGGGTTTCTAGGGTGTATAGGGTTTATAGGCTTTGTAGGGTTTTTATAAGAGTTTATAGGGTTAGGGTATAATATACTTTCCGGGCCATAGTAGTTAGAATAGTTTTTTTTGGGTATAGTTCTATTGGGATGATAAGGGAATATGACTCCTATATATTCCGGTTCCATCGGTGGGAAGAAGAGGGTTTGACAGGGTGTGTAATTAAAGGGTTTACACAGTAAAGGGTCTGCATACATTCTTTCGAAGGGTTCCTAAACCACCCTAAACCCTGAACCCTAAGCCCAAACCCTAAACCCTAAATCCTAAACCCAAAACCCATCAGAACCCTACACCGCGCCGCATAAACCCTAAGCCACCCTGAACCCTGAGCCCTCAACCCATAAGCACATGACCCCTAAACCCCAAGCCACTCGAAGCCCAAAACCCTAAACCCAAAACCCAAAACCCTAAACCCTAAACCCGAAACCCTAAACCCCAAGCCACCCCGAGCCCGAAACCCGTTAACCCACGGTTTAGGGTTTAGGGTTTAGGGTTTAGGGTTTAGGGTTTAGGGTTTAGGGTTTCGGGTTTCGGGTTTAGGGTCCCCCCCCCCCCCCCCCCGGCTTCTCAGCCTCGCTCGTTTTCTGGGCACTTGGCAGGGGCGGGTTCGGCATCCTCCGCGGCACTAGGAACCCCTCTTGAGGTTTAGGGTTTAGGGTTTAGGGTTTAGGGTTTAGGGTTTAGGGTTTAGGGTTTAGGGTTTAGGGTTTAGGGTTTAGGGTTTAGGGTTTAGGGTTTAGGGTTTAGGGTTTAGGGTTAGGGTATAACCCCTCCGCAAGAGGGTATGGGCCTAGGGTGTCTAGGAGCTTAGGGTTCAAGGCTTACCAAAAACGAAGAGACAGCTCAAGTAGGCCAAATAACCTAGGGTTTGTTTGCATTTGTTTTTGATGCTTGTGGGTTTTAGGGTTCATAAGTACTGATAAGTAGGTTTTGGGTTTAGGGCTTATAGGGTTTAGGGTTTAGGGTTCATAGGGTTTAGGGGTTTAGGTTTGGGGTTTGGGGCTCTCGTCCCTTCTTGGGGGCTTGACGGGCTCGGGGATGGCACTCGCCGGGTTCCAAGGCGAGATCATCCAAAAGCCAAAGCCTCTAAACATACCCTTTACGGCTACGATTTGCCGAAGAAGGACCCCCCCCACCCAAAAAAAAACAAAAAAAAAAAGAGACATGATAGTCATCCCTACATACTCTGATAGGGAAGAATACTATCTACGTTTGTTGGCGGGGGGTTCTGAAGCAAGTAATAGCTTTCCTAAACCCTGACCCCACGCGGAGCCGCCACCCAAGGGGCTTGGTGCTGAGACATTCCATCCGGACGCCTCTCCGTGGCTATGTTGCCTTGCTCCAGCTGGACTGGCACCCCGAACCGCAACATGTTTCTCAGCGGCACGTCAACGTACCAGTCGCTCAGGCTCTGCCGGTTGATCCGGGTTTCCCCGGCCGCGCTTCCTCGGGCCCTTCCAGCTGGAACCAGGGAGCTCCGCTCGAACCAGGACACACCGCGGGACGCCGGCTGCGACGCATCGCAAGCCAAGCCCTTAAAAAGGGCAGTATAGGGATTATTGGTGTTTTTTTTGGGGGACGGGGGGTTCTTAAGCCATGGGTTGGGCATTCCATTCGGCCATGAAACCTAAGGAGTGGGTGGGGTGTTCTTCTATATAACCTTACGGTTTAGGATATGAGCAGCAGTCAATATTACTTGTTAAGCTGAAGGATATGGATGTTGGGGTCATCGTTTCTTGCGTGTCCCACAACGTTCTGCACGTTAAAACGCTCTTCCGCTAATTTCATACTAAGTCCCTACATCGCATATATTTTTCATCATGTTGGGGTCATCGTTTTCTGCGTGTCCCATATCGTTCTGCAGATCAAAAGCCACCAAACCATAAACTGATGTCCGTCCCTTACTAAAGCTAATCAACGCTAATTTTGACGGTCGCTCATATATAGCTCAACCCTAGACCCTGAAGCCGAAACCCTAAACCCTAAACCCTAAACCCTAAACCCTAAACCCTAAACCCTAAACCCTAAACCCCAAGTCGGGGTCCTGATGCTGGGCCTTGGCATGAAGGTCGGCTTGAGCAGCTCGCGTCTTCGGCTTTCCGCCCGAAGGCGTGGTCGAAAAGGGTTTAGGGTTTAGGGTTTAGGGTTGAGGGTTTAGGGTTTAGGGTTTAGGGTTTAGGGTTTAGGGTTCAGGGCCAAAGTTTAGGGTTTGGGCTTGAGGGATGACAGCCCGCCGGAACGGTGGCATCATAAGCTTAGGGTTCTGGGATTCGGGCTTGGGATTAAGGGCTTAGGGTTTGTAGGTTAAAAAAACACAGTGCCCGCAACCCCTAAACCCTAAACCCTAAACCCTAAACCCTAAACCCTAAACCCTAAACCCTAAACCCTAAACCCTAAACATGCGAAAACGCAAGCCTTAGGCCAATGCAACAACAGTTGTGGATACCCTGGCCCCTTGAAGCCCCTGAACAAACATTCCTGAGTTATGATCCTCTTTAAACCCCAATAAACGAGCAAACCCTAAACCCAAAACCCTGAACCCTAAACCCTACACCCTAAACCCTGAACCCTAAAACCCTAAACCCTAAACCCTAAAACCCTAAACCCGAAGCAGTAAACCCGAAACCCTAAACCCTAAACCCTGATGATGAGCTGTCCCAAGCGCCTATCCAGCGCCAACAAGGCCCCGCAGCAATCCGGGGTCCAAACCCTGAAAGACCCTAAGGCCCCTCTGCGGTTTAGGGTTTAGGGTTTAGGGTTTAGGGTTTAGGGTTTAGGGTTTAGGGTTTCGGGTTTAGGGTTTAGGGTTCAGTGTTCAGGGTTTGGGGTTCAGGGTTCAGGGTTTAGGGTTCAGGATTGGGGTTTGGGGTTTAGGGTTTAGGGTTTACCTGTAACATGGGCGGCAAAACCCCTGAACCGCAGCCCTACAAACCCGAACTTTTCCCCTTCTGCCCTAAACCCCTACTACACCCTAGAGACCCCTGAACCCCAATGCCGTGCAACGCTAACATGGTCGAAGGGATTCGCTTCTGGGGGTTCATGGCTTAGACCCCTAAACCCTGATCCCGTGCAACCCTGACCTGGTTGTAGGGTTTCGTTTTTAGGGGGTTCATGGTGGCCCTGTAAACCTTAAACCTTAGTCCCTCAACCCTAAACCCTAAACCCTCAACCCTCAACCCTAAACCCTAAACCCTAAACCCCTAAACCCTAAACCCTAAACCCTAAAACCGAAACCTTAACCCCCCGCATCTGCCCATCGCTGGCACGACGTGCCTGGTCTCCCGGCGACAGCTCTACGAAACCCTTCACCTTTGGCGCCCGACAGAGGTTTGGAGCGTAGGGTTCAGGAACATTCCTTCAAATGCAATCAGGATGCCCAGAATAAGTTCCACTCCCTGATTGAGGACCGGTTTAGGGTTTAGGGTTTAGGGTTTAGGGTTTAGGGTTTAGGGTTTAGGGTTGAGCTTCTCCAGCAATCAGGGGCAGGGCCTGAGGAGGGTCGAGGACTTCGGCACACCATGAGTTCAGCCTAAGACCTCAAAGGCATCTTGCTTGAAGGTTCGTGGGGCCCAAAGGGTTTAGGGTTTAGGGTTTAGGGTTTAAGGTTTAGGGTTTAGGGTTTAGGGTTTAGGGTTTAGGGTTTAGGGTTTAGGGTTTAGGGTTTGGGGGAATTGCCTTTGGTGGGGGGGACCCCATTGGGGACAGCCGCCTTCGTCCTCGCCGTTCCATCCTCACACCCTGACCTTTTTTTGAATGCGCCTAAAAGTACATGAAACGCTCAATTTTGCAGTGGAAATCTGCGTGCGCCCAGAATTTCAAGAGGCCGTTTCCTTTTAGGATGTTTGCGTGTTTGCATGTTTTTGAACGCCGCTCAAAAATAGCCGAGCGCCTAGATTTTGGTAAGTGTTTTGGGGTGCAGGTAGGGTTTAGGGTTTAGGGTTTAGGGTTTAGGGTTTAGGGTTTAGGGTTTAGGGTTTAGGGTTTAGGGTTTAGTGCTTAGGGTTTAGGGTTTAGGGTTTGGGGTTTAGATCGCACAGAACTTTGAGCCTAACCCTAAGGGCTCATGCACCTCGTTCTCATATGCTTGGGCCCCAAATCCCCTTAGGAGGCACTTTGAGAGACCCAAGTGTGTTTAGGTACGTGGGGTTTTTAAGGGTCAGGGTCAGGTGAGGGTACGGAAAGCCCCCAACCTTAAACCCTAAATCCTGCACCCTCAACCCTGTAGAAACCCTAAGCCCTAAACCCTACTGGATAAGACGTTTCGGTTATGGGGGTTATAAGTGACTTATACTCTAGTTATGTTGAGTAACTTATAACCTAGTTAGGGTGGATCCGTAACTTCGACCTAACTAGGTTTTCGCCGGGGTGTGTTTTTGTCTTTCAAGGTGTTGATGGTTTGCCATGTAGGACCGAAAATGGCAGATTTACACACCCTTTCAACGCAAGCAGAGGAGGTGAGCTCAATCATATCGCCGCCAGGCAGGCGAGGTCCAGGGGTTCTGCTGGCAAGGCTGGAAAGAAGAAACACTATCGGCCAGGTCGTGGCTGCAGACACGGCGGCAAAGCTGGCAAAGCTTTTCCTTCTTCGGTGCTGGCACCAACGCCTCACCCGGAGAAGCTGCCGCATCTTCTTGGGCCGGGCAAGGGGTCTTCAGCCTCATACTGGTGCACCTCGGCTATCATGGCTTGTCTGCGGGGTCAAGGACTGAGCCAGCTGCTTCGGGCAAACCAGGAAATTCATTCAGTCGTCACCAAGACTCAGAAGGAGCATCGACAGTCAACATGTTTTTTCGGAAGGAAACATGTTTTTTTTGGGATCTGGCTGGCAGAGCAGGCCGACACCGGGCCGACAGGAGCCCCAACCACCTAATCATGCGCGCCGATGGGCCGACACGGGCCGACACAGGGAAATCGTTAACATCCTTAGTAATAACCATGGAAAACCGTTGGGCCGACAGGGGCCGACACGCGGACCCAGGGCCAGCCAGCGTAGTCCCCGAAGCGGGCCGACACAGGCCGACACCGGGCCGACAGGGCCCCAAAGCTAAAAACAAACGCACGTCTTGCCGCCATTTGCTGTCGTTTGTGTTCAAGCCGAAGTGTCAATTGGGGTCATGAACGCAATACGGAGATCGCACCACGAAAGGGTGGGCATGGTGTGAAATGAAAATCCATACCTCGCAAAGGGTATCAGCTGCAAGCGCCGTCGCTCCACCCTTTTGTGGTGCGATCTCCGTATTGCGTTCATGACCCCAAGTGACACTTCGGCTTGAACACAGACGGCAGCAAATGGCACCAAGACGTGCGACTGAAGTTTCTCTTTGAGAACACTTCCTTTACTGACCTCGGACGACAACGCCAACCATCCTCACTATACCCACACTCAGCGCACATGGACGGTCATGATTGCAGCGCCCATATCACGGCTTCCAGGCCAACAATGCCTTCTGCAGAAGCAAAAATAACGCGAACCCGTAACTAGACCCTAACTTGACTATAACTAAACCCTAACTACCTTATGACTTTCCTGGCACACTTACATAACTCACCCCTAACCGTAGTAACTAAGGGTATAAGTAGTAGAGAAGTTAGGGGTGAACTTTGGGTGAAGTTATCGGGGTTATAGCATGGGTTGCCCGACTTATAACCAGGGTTATAACCTGCCTAATTGAATCGTCTTATCCAGTAAATCCGAAAAGTCATACTCAACAAGTGTTGTATAACCCTACTCGAAACCCCTTAACCCTACTCATCAGTACGCATGAACCGTCAAGTACGCCCAAAACCCCGATCGCACAATGAAGGCATCGGAAATGCGCAGGCATGCTGAACGGGGCTAGGAAAACACTCCTTAGCCGAGATCCAGCTAACCCTGTAAACAATATCCGAAACCCTACACCCTAAACCCCAGCCCCTAAACCCTAAACCCGAAACCCTAAACCCGAAACCCTAAACCCGAAACCCTAAACCCGAAACCCTAAACCCATAACCCCAAAAACTCCTAAGCTCCCCACGAAACGCTCCACGAGATCGATCTGCTTCTTCCTAGCCGGGTTTAGGGTTTAGGGTCTAGGGTTTAGGATTTAGGGCCTAGGGTTGAGGGACACACCTCAGCTTCATCGCTTGTCGTCAGTAAAGTGGATTGCGGCGAACCAAAAAATGCTCAAGGTTCAGGGCTTTTGAGCATTGACATGCCGGGTTTCAGTGACCCTCAAGGTGTACCCTCAACCTTATAGGGGTACGAGCCTTGATCAGGCAAGGTTCAAGGCTTGGCGATGGCGGAGTAGGGATTCGGCAAGCCGAATATTCTAATTATTAAGGCCCCTATATTGCTTCCGCTGAAGTCGCAAAATTGAGGAGGGGAGTTTCCACGCACATGTCATAGTGAGGGAAGCTTTTGCGAGCCTTAGCGAGCAGGGGGAGTATTCGGGAACCTTGGCTTACATACCCCCCTGGAACCCCCCCTCCCTTAGGGACCCTATAAAGACCAGGCTTCTAGAAGAGGCCTTTAACTCTAGGGCTCCTAGTCATGGAACCCGACGTGGGTACTTGTGGCATACATGGAGCCGCAGGCCTCATAAACCCCAAAGCCCCTGGTTTGTTCATATGTTTTCTTGTTTGGGCGTGGGGGGTATTGTAGTTCGCAGCCAGGAGTGCAGTTTGCAGAGGTGTGTTAGTGGAGACTGTGCAGGTAGGAAGTTGCCAGCTAGGTGTAGTTGCAGAGGTAGCAGTGGTTCAAGTGCAGTCGTTGAGTAGCAGCAAACCCTAAACCCTAAACCCCCTAACCCCCTAAACCCCCTAACCCCCCCCCTCCCCCTCCCTTCTCCCCCCCCCCCCCCCCCCCCCCCCTCC